GAACAGTAACCGTATGGCGGCTAAACAGTAACCGTATGGCGGCGTGAACAGTACCCGGCTGCGTGAACAGTGTCCGGCTGCGTGAACAGTATCCGGCTGCGTGAACAGTACCGTAGCTTCACTATTCATTTATAACATATATGAATTTTTTGGTCCAAAATTTTCACCTCTTTATTTCTGTGAATTTTTTTCTTTGTCAATATTAATATTTATATTTACAAGAAAAATATATAATTAAAAAATTTAAAGAACTTTAGATGACTTTACATCGTCACCTATTCGAAATCGAAAGGTTTGAGCTTTTTCTGTGTTTTTTACTGACAAAATGTCGAAGTCTGTCGTCATTTTCTCCGAGATTTACGGAAACACGTGAAATCATAGACAGATACCTCGAAAATGCATGGAACCACATTATATATGTATATATATATGTATGTATGTAATGTTCCCACGTTTTAAAAACGATATCTAGAATCAAGAATCGAGAGAAGACAAATTTTCATTACAATTAGATCAAACTGCAAATCGAAAAAACAAGAAAAGGAAAAAGGATAATCGAATACCTATGGGACAAAAACATTAAAAAAAAAAAGGTGAGAAAAAGAGTAGCCAGTTAAGTGAGAAGAGCACCATAGAAGAGGATGTTCCAAGTGTCGGGCAAGCCAGGGAGGCACCAGTGGCTGCAGTCATTGCCTGGGTGGTTCCCACTGTAGGCCGAAGGGTGCGCGTCTTTCCTCAGCTGAGACAATCCCGTTATGTCGAGCCAGTACACCGGTTTCTTCACCCGGCTCAACACTTTGTTCACCACCACCCACGCCATTGGCGTCCCTGCTGGGTACTTGGGTCCAAAGTAGGGTTGTGTCTGGCTCGAACACGACTTCATCGGCTCGTTCCAGTCCTTACCCCTTCGCCCACCCACACGCCGCCATGGATCGGATTAGGGTTTTGCGTTGGATATTAATTAACGGGAAGTGAAGAAGAGAAAGAAGGGGTGCTTACTCGTAATGGGTGGGAGAGACGCCATTGAAGAAGACCTTGGTCTTGGAAGGGTCGACGTTGGCATTGATCCAGCGAGCCCACGTGGTCAAGCCTTTGTAGAAAGCGACCAGCCTGTCCATGTCCTTGTAAAGCCTCCTCCCGTCTTCCATGTAATCCCACCTGCCACGTCATCACACAGAGTTCAGCACCCGCTGTCTCGTCGCCATCGATCATGGAAAGAGAGTGAAATGAAACAAGAACGTACGGCTGGATGCGCTCGGTGTGGGTCCACCAGTGCCACGTGTCGAAGATCAAGACGTCCATGCCTCTCCACATGTTGCCTTGCTTGATCGAGTCAAGCTTCAGGACTCGCCCCACTTTCTCCGAGTCAAGATCCACCAGAAACTGCGTTCTGTATAACAGCAACGTCACCTTATAATCCTGCAAATATCCAACCGGAGAGAGGATGATGGATACACGCGAGGTGCACGGTAGCACAGTCCACCACTCGACGGTGCACGTTAGCAAAAAGTGCCCCCCTTTTTCCCCGTTAGAAGTGCTTTTTGTCCCGAAGAATTATGACCTTTTTTTTGACAATTTCCGGAATAGAATTGAAAAAGAAAACCGATAATAATTACAGCAGAGATCGGTGAGAAGACCCAGATAATAATTTTTTTTTTTAATTTCATTTTCTTATTGTAATAAAGACAAAGAGGAAAGGAAGGAAAAAAACACAGACCTCGAAGGTGAGAGAGGAGAGACCCTTTTGTCGGAGAAGAGTGAATCTGGAGTTAGGAGCCCAGGAGTAAATCAGACAAGCCAGGGACTGCCACATGTTCGAGCTCAGCGAATCTCCCACGAACATTATCTTCTTCCCCTTCATCTTCCTCAAGAAGTACAGCCCATTGAACCTGATCTCCCCCCATCACAGAATTCGTTGAAAAACCAAAACCAAAACCGAAGATTTAGAATCTTGGATTCAGACCCATGATTGGTCTGTTGTTCCTTTGGGTTCAGGCAACAGCCAAACACAGAGTAGAGTACACAAAGACAACAGACTACGGCAGCGCTCGGCTGTTTTCACGGATCCGGCCATATGGGTGTTAATTAACTGTCCTCGAGAAGTGAAATTCTAATAAATACTACCAAGTCCGAGACGAACACTTTCTTTGATCGCTTCTTTGGATTCCTGCGGTCCTCTATTCCCTTTTTTCACCCCTCCTCCTCGATAGAATGGAATCATGGGGTTCGAGACAATATATGGGTGTGAAAAAAGTTTCAAAATTTGAAATCCAAAGCCAGTGGGGGGGGGGGGGAGAGGGAGGGAGGAAAGTATCATTGCCCTTTTCCAAATCGAATTGTGGAGAGAATGATAGATATTTTACTTTAAAGGAAATAGTCTCTTCCCGTGTGAATCTAATTATGTAAATGTTGAACCTTTGGCCTCCAAAACTATCTTGCAACTTTAAGGGACGTCCAAAGCCAAAAGTGTATGTAATTTTCCTCCAGGAGAGTTGCTTGGTTCATAGCATGAACCCTAAAAACGAGAAGGAATCAAGAACTGGGAGGAGCGATTAGCTACGGACACCACTACCTACATTGCAGAAAGATACAGCATAAGATTCGGAAGAACCTGGGGAGGGAACAGGAGAAGGGTTGCCACCGGTACTTGAGGTAGAGACTGTCGGGACGACCGTACTTCTTGCAGTTGAACTGCGGGTCTATGAAGGGGCATTTGTACGGATCGTACAATGGGTACTTGGCGTCGTAAACCCATCTCCCTCTGAACCAGTTGCATTTCCCGGCTAGCTTCCTCGCTCCGAAGACGCCATTGTCGCTGCTGCTGTTGGAGTAAGAGCTGCTCTGTTCTTGTCCCGTCGCAGATACGAATGGATATGAGATCGAGAGACAGAGAAGGAATAAGAACAAGTGGAGAGAGAAACCCATTTCGGTATTTTGGGATTCGATCTCAGAGTCTTTTGTTTGGTGGGGAAGAAGCTCTCTGACTGTAGAGTTATATATAACACTCCACAGAGAGAGAGAGAGAGAGAGAGAGAGAGAGAGAGAGAGAGAGAGAGAGAGAGAGAGTGATTTCACATGGGGAGGGGAGGAGTCCTCCTCTACTCTCTGTGTCCTTAATCTGTAAAATGATGAGTTGTTGCTTTTCACATAAAAAGGCGAATTTCCCGTAATATCATAAAATTAGTTTAAAGACAAAAGAAAATTGTTTTAAAGAAACCTAAAGTTGTGTTCACAAAAAAAGGATTTGACTTTTTCAGTGTATAAAAAGAGGACCCGAAATTTCCACTCTGACAACGTTTTTTTGTTCCCATATGTATACACGTCAATCTACTTCAACATTGTAAAAGTTTGGACAACTTGATTACAGTATCATAAATATTTCAACCGAAAAAAAAAAACAAAACTTTATGATTTAATATTTCGTATGAAGTCGTATAAAATATGGGTTTTCCAATAGGCAGCTGTCACACGTAGTGCCGTGGAGGATATGAGCATGTGTGCGGGTTTTGGGTCAACCTCCAAGATTACAAAGACTAGATTTGAGAGTACACCATATTATATATATATATATAATATGGTGTAATACGTTTAGGCAGAAAACGAGATCCAATAATTCAGGTACAGAGAAACAAATCATTAGGTATTGCTAGAGAATAATGGAGATCGGTGCATATGAAATTTGGTCAATTATTTCAGATGGTCCTCCACTCATGTTGATGCAGTTTTCCAGTCCCATTCAGACAACCTTTTGCTGATTTGTGACTTATATTATACACATTTTCAAATGACGTCTGAAATCCATCTGATATCGAAATGTGGGGGATTAGAGAGATTGACTGTCTGACACCAAAAATTCAAAAATAAATGTGATGATTGTATGATGATACAACCTGTTTTCCGTACCAGTGTATGTGTATATATATTGTCCCTACCATATCTAACTCCCCATGCTTCATCCATTTGAAGCCGGCACCATTATTTTCTACCTTACGTGGATCTTTATCTCCCTCTCCCATATCTGACGTATAGTAGCTGAGTATTATAATTTTTTTTTGTGGGTTCGGGTCTGTTTTCATTACACAGCTGCTGCTTGAAAGTCCCCAAAGTCATCTTCTGGAGCATCTTCTGTTCTCTGTTCCTCGGCTTGATTCCGTTCTCTCTCTTTTTGTCCTTTTGTCTGAGAATTATGTTCTTCTGATGACCGTTTGAGGCTGAGATTTGGCTGTTTACTTGACGGAGAGATCTGAACCGTCGTGGCCGCCGTGGGGAAAGGGTCCTGGAGGTGGCGGCGGCTGAATAATAGAGACAGCCGTCCCTATAGACTTGCCCTTTTCTTCCCGGGCCAGATTGCTCAGACCCTTCTCGAGTATTTTCGACTTCGTGTCCCCGTTGCCTCTCTATGACGCTGCCATCATTTGAAACATAAAAAAACAGAACCCGATTTAAAGAAAATGCAAGAACAGAAGATGTCTGAAGCAGTGACAGAGAGGGCGTTAATTCCTTTACGTTTTTGAGTTGGAGAACGATGGTCTCTCCCTCCTTTAAGCTGTCATCAGCTGAGGTGCTCTGAAACTGTTCTTCCATCTCTTCCGCTGTTTTCTTCTTGTTCAAGTAACATTAGTATAGACCGGATGTCGATCCATTTAGTTGCCTCGGCTTTTTCAAGCAGACAAGCTCATTTGAAAGAATGTCAATGTTACAAAACAAGAAACAGCTGGGGGTTTCGGAACCGGAACATTACTTCATATGGTCATGAAGTGCGGCTTGGAAGTCGTAAGCTTCTGTTCTTTCTCGAAACCCAATTCCAATAAAAGCATCCCGACACGACCACCTGCAACACTTTCAAAGGGTACATTCAAAAACCGAGTTTTTTTCATCTTTTTAATCGAAAGTGCAGAACAACACACGATCTCTATCCAGTACCTATTTCTTCTTCAACGCGAAGAACAAAATATCTGTAAAGGAAAAGATCAATCTTTTAGATACCCACTATTGAATCAGCAGCCGCTTTATGGGACGGCCTAGTTCGGTTTTATGGCTATATTCAGTACCTGCTATTGTCGATCACAGGTTCCACGGGATGTGGTTCGCCATCTCTCAAGAACACCTGAGCGTAGAGTTCACCGGTGGTTTTATCTACAAGTCTGATTATGCATTCTTCTCCGTTGCTGATCACTTTCAGTGCCCCTTCCCATGCCCATTTATTCACGTCCCACTCGTCGGCCCTGTAAGAGAGCCGGTGTACATCGGCAGAGCCCCACACATGGACTCATTACTCGCAATGTCGGATTGGCTTCCAAGATTTTCTTCCAGGTTTTCATCATTCAGTCCACTATTCTGAAGGGTTTCAGTACAAAGGAAGATCCGCTACAGTATGGGAAAATCCATTAAGAATCTACAGCATTGGGAAAGAGAATCCTACGCATTAGACATTGTTCTCACGAAGAGAAGAAATAAGCTGTAAGAATCTGCGCTTTTTCTTGGAGGTATCTGCACAGATGGCAAAGAAATGCCTATCAGACATAACACAAGATTCAACATGACTTCCAAATCTCCAACTCCATCATCTTCTGGCTTTGCAAATTACTCTAAGACAATTCCGCTGGAAAATGGGTTCGAATTATCAATTTCGGAGGGTTAACAGAAGATATAATGTTAAAACATCCAATGACTTCAAGTGAATGAACAGCAAAGTACCGATTTCAACGATTATCTTAACTTGTTAGTAGAAGAGAACCCACCCAATATTGTCCAAGAAGAACCATAACCAAAGAACACGATACTGTAATCTCAGTTCATCCATCTGGAGTTATCACCACCATGGTTTGACACATGAGTTAGTGGAGTTCTTGACTGAAAAAGGGCAAGTATAATAACACTAGACGACCAAACATCCCTGATCAGAAGACATCACTTAATTCACAACTGGACCAGTCATGCTTAAAGACAGAACCTTAGGCCTTCAAAACAACCAAACACGCTTCACCACGAGCCTCTGCGATCTAATAGCAGAAGGCTACTTGAAAACTTATCTGCCGGATCATCCATCAATTCACCAATTTCATGAACCCGGAAAGGAACTTGACAAGCACAGACCCAAACTTAGATAGTTCAACCGCTAAAATGGGTGCAAAGTTTCTACCACGACTCGAGTTTAAACCCTCAAATTTGAGAAGGAGACGTATATTCCAAATCAAACGGCGGCTGGCACCACCCCAAGATTAGTCTGTTCTTTGGTTCTCCGTTAACCCAAAAAAACTTGACAATCATAGATTAAGATAATTTCCTCCATGGAAAAACCGCAGTTTTCTAATACCAGATTAAGTGAACTAAAACCAACTACCCGATCCAAAAACCCTCCTATAAATCCGCCCAGAAAGGTTTGGAGCTTTCGCGGAAAGACAGAATCCAGCAATAACTCAACATACCCATTTGAACGAGAAAACTCAAAGCAAACGCAAAGAGAGAAATCTTACCAAGTAAACACAGCATTCGGACACTTGGAAGAGAACGATCTCTGTAGATTCTGTCTCTTCGTTATCATCGGCGGTCCCAGGATCAGTTGATGCTTCCTTGTCTTTCTCCATGGCCGACACAGATTCAGCTTGATCTTCCCAGAAACAGAGATCCTGCGGAGAAGTCCTCGATTGGAAAAGAAAAAAAGACAGTAATTTTTTTTATTAACGAAATTGGGGACCCTAATTCAATCTTCGGGCGCAGTAGACGATCACTTCGGTGTGAAATTGTGAATATACGTAACAACGTAGAGGCCGTCCGATCTACTTGACTTCTTCGAATCATGACCGTACGATTCACTGACCATCCATCTCTTCTGCCGCTGAGATGTCAACGTTAAGTTAACCAGTTATTGGGCCTTTTAAATGGGCCAAAGCCCATTTTTCGTGGTTCTAAGCCATTGAAATATTGAAATTCAATAGAGCCTTTGCCCAAAAAAAAAACAAAAACTAAACCAATACAGAAAAAATTGTTTAAAAAGGATACGGATAAAGATTCGAAATCTAATTATAAATTTATAATTAAAAAAAGATTATAAGAAATTTTTATATGGACATAAAACATTTAAATTTCTTCGGTGCATAAGAAACACTGAAAAGGATCTCATAAATTAAATTACCAGTGGTAATTCACATATTAAGTACATGAAAATTTCTAAATTTATCCCAAGTAAATCTATTTTATCCAAATAAATCTGTTATTCCTTTTTTTTTAATATTTTCTGTCGTATTTATTTTTTACAAAATGGATATCTACCTAAAATGATTAGCTTTTTTATTTATTTAAAAAATTTGCAACAAAAAAAATAATTTATTTGGGCTGAAGCGTAGGTAAAAAAAAAACCGTGTGTATGTGCTTCTTATCGGTTGTCCACTTCTCACCCTAATTGAGCTCACTTTCGCAGCTTTGCGCAGACACATAACCCCTCTCCTTCCTCGTTTACTCGGCGCTGAGAAAAATGGCGGCGGCTACTTCCTCCATTGCTCCTTCCCTCTCTTGTCCTTCTTCCTCCAAAACCCCTCGATCCTCCAAACCCAGGGCCGTATCGCTTCCCAAAATCGGTTTCCTCTCGTCTTGTTCCAACCCTCTGCGTCCGCTGACGGCCGCCGTCGCGGGAAGTGGCGTCTCCGGCTCTTCCGTCGCGGCTCGCATGGTGTCGGCTCCGTCGGTCACGGCTCCGATTTCTCTGGATTTCGAGACCTCCATATTCAAGAAGGAAAAGGTTTCCCTCGCTGGTCACGACGAGGTCTCTTCTTCTCCACTTCTCGTTTCTGTTCAGATGCGTGGAGTTTATCCTGTTTGCGTGTTGATTGGTTTGGGTTGTATCACATCAAATCTTTGTTCTTTCCAGTTTCCATTTTCTGGGTTTTCCATTTTTAACCACTTCGAAGCATTTCTTAGTGTCTTTGCTGATGTTTTTTTTGGCAATCCCTTGTCTAGTGCATTGTGAGAGGAGGAAGGGATTTGTTCAAGCTGCTTCCAGATGCTTTCAAGGGGATTAAGCAGATCGGTGTGATTGGTTGGGGCTCTCAGGTAACGATATTGTTTTCTTGAAATTTCTTTTGTGCTTCACTTCCTCCGCGTATTCGTTGTTTGTGAATGCTTCTCCATGATATCGGTTTGGCTTTGGTGGAAAAGTTTAAACCTTTTCTGAGTTTTGTGTTCCCAGATGGTGTTTTGGTTGATTACTTCTCTTTGTTAAGATTTGGGAAGAACCAGAGTTCGGTTTTTTCACATGCTGAAGTTGAAGAAATGACTATGATAGTTTTGATTAACTGATAGTTTGAAATGGCTGCAGCCCTCAAATCCTAGTTGATATGTAGATTATCCTTGGTTCTGTCCTGTGAATATGATTGTTTATAAACTAACTAACTGCTGTCGTGTGACTCGTGTCATCTCCTTGCTTCTTATATTTGAGTTGGAAGGAAAAGAATTTGGTTAAACCTATACCTTGCCGTTTGGTCAACAGCTGCATATCCCTTGCTAACTTTGTTATGCATTTGCAGGGGCCTGCTCAAGCTCAAAATTTGAGGGATTCACTTGCTGAGGCAAAGTCTGGCATAGTTGTTAAGGTAACGTAGATTGTGTCGTGCTAACTCCATACATGGGAGCTGAGAATTTGGCTTTTATGGTTAATGCTCTCACTGTTACTTCAAGGCTATGCCCTGACTTTGGTGGCTGGTTTCTTTCCTGTGTTATTGTAGATTGGACTTAGAAAGGGCTCTCGCTCATTTGATGAGGCCCGTGCTGCTGGATTTACCGAAGAGACTGGTACTTTGGGTGACATATGGGAGACTATCTCTAGCAGTGATCTTGTGTTACTCTTGATCTCTGATGCTGCACAGGTTTGTTCTTTCCGGGACCTTGTTTGCATTTACATTTTTTGCTGAAAATATAGTATTTACTTGTTCGATATACTTTTTATATACATGGATGTCGTCAATCTGTCATGTTTTGTAGGCTGATAGCTATGAGAAAGTGTTCTCCCACATGAAGCCAAACAGCATTCTCGGGCTGTCACATGGGTTTCTCTTGGGGCATTTGCAGTCAATGGGACTCGATTTCCCGAAGAACATCAGTGTGATCGCTGTATGTCCTAAGGGAATGGGTCCCTCTGTTAGGAGACTTTACGTCCAAGGAAAAGAAATCAATGGTGCTGGAATTAATTCAAGTTTTGCAGTTCACCAGGTTCCTTATCTATATATATATATAAATCTTTATAGCATTTCTTTCACGATGGTGGTACCGTGTTTTTTGAACCTAAGTCAATATTCGCCATGATGATATTTCCTTTGCAGGATGTTGATGGCAGAGCTACAGATGTTGCCCTAGGATGGTCAGTTGCTCTTGGCTCTCCTTTTACTTTTGCCACCACTCTTGAGCAGGAGTACAAGAGTGACATCTTCGGGGAACGAGGTGAAATTTTCTGTCTTCATTTCTCAGAAAACCGAAGTTTTATTACATCACCCGGCATTAGTCACTGACCTTATTCTTTTTGTATACACAGGCATTCTGCTCGGTGCTGTTCACGGAATTGTGGAGGCTCTGTTTAGAAGGTACACTGAAAATGGGATGAGCGAAGACTTGGCTTACAAGAACACAGTGGAATGCATCACAGGAATAATATCAAGAACAATCTCGACCCAGGTTGGGAAGAATCTTTCAAACGTCAACTTTTGATTTCCGGGTTTTGCTCGATTTATATTTTTTTAATCGTTGATTCTCATTTGATGAATTGTGAATAGGGAATGTTGGCTGTATACAACTCCTTCTCCCAGGAAGACAAAAAGGTCTTCGAGACTGCATACAGTGCTTCTTACTATCCTTGCATGGACATCCTCTACGAATGTTACGAGGATGTAGCCACCGGTAGCGAAATCCGGAGTGTTGTCTTAGCTGGTCGTCGTTTCTACGTACAGTGATCTTAACCCTAACCTTGTTATCACAATGCCTCGAGCATTTTTCCGAGCGGAAAATGGATAAAGCATGTAAATGTGTATTCATTGATTGTTTTTTACTGATTTCGACAGGATAAGGAAGGTTTACCAGCATTCCCGATGGGAAAAATCGACCAGACACGCATGTGGAAGGTCGGTGAGCGTGTTCGGAAGGTCAGACCGGCTGACGACCTTGGCCCATTGTACCCTTTCACCGCAGGAGTTTATGTGGCACTCATGATGGCTCAGGTATGCATACATATATATATTGATATATATACACATTCATCTCTACATATATACACGCCCTCATGATCTCGGTTTCATGAAAAATGCAGATCGAGGTATTGAGGAAGAAAGGGCACTCGTACTCTGAGATCATCAACGAGAGCGTGATCGAGTCCGTGGATTCGCTGAACCCGTTCATGCACGCGAGGGGAGTGTCTTTCATGGTGGACAACTGTTCGACCACGGCTCGGCTGGGTTCGAGGAAATGGGCACCGAGGTTCGATTACATCCTGACGCAGCAAGCCCTTGTGGCAGCTGACAACGGGACACCAGTGAACAGAGACCTAATCAGCAACTTCCTGTCCGATCCTGTCCATGGCGCCATCGAAGTCTGCGCCCAGCTGAGGCCCACCGTCGACATCTCGGTGCCTCCGGACGCTGATTTCGTCCGACCAGAGCTCCGTCAGTCTGGGAACTGAGGTGAGATCTTATCATCAGTTTATGTAATCTGAGATATAATCTAGTGGTGATCTTTAGCTTTTGAGAGTGCGAGCGTTTTTGGAAAAAAAAAAAAAACTCTTCTTTTGTCTGTTGGAAAACAAAACCCGATATATGGCTTCTGTTTCTCCTTTGTCTGAATTTCTTCCTCTTTTCTTCATACATTTTTTTTCATCAGTAGCTTGAGCAAGAACCAACACGACAGGACCAATGCTCATAACAAGATGAACAACAGAAATATGCCGAAACCCGAGCTGATCCGATAAAAAAAAGCCAGCATCGAACGTCGAACAATCACAGCTTAGGTCCTGGACCTGGAATGATTATCACCTCCATCTTCCTTTTACTTTCCGGGAAAAAAAAAATCGGCACAGAAAAATTTGGAATGAATAATATAGTAAGAGAGAAGCCTTGTAAATAATGAAAAGTAAAAATAAAAAATCGGATATTAATACACTAACGGCTAAAAAATTTAAATAAATTTTCAAATAAATGTTCGAGATTATTCCTGATTTTTAATTTTACCTTCAATTTTTAATAAACGACGAAACTAAATCTCAAATCTCAAAAATCGTTATAAAATTAAGCTATAAATATCTAAACCATTTATAAAAACTATCATGGCATTGTAGGTTTTCAAAATTTTATAATTTAATGTAAAAATTAAAAAGAGTTAACGTTTTTTTTTTTGTTTTGAAATTTTGTAATTTGGAATGTTTTTTTTTAATTAGAAATCAGTTATGGGATGCGAAGTGAATATTATAGCTATAGGCCCAATATGATGAGGCCCATTTATGCAACAATATTTAAATGGGCCGGGTCGGATCGACCCACTGATTTTGTTTTTGTTTTTCTCGTAATAATTTTAGTTGGGGTTCTTTTTCCTTTGCTGGTTAGTTATTAATCTGTCCCAATCGGTTGGTGAAATAATTCATCAATTATTTTGATCCAAATCCATCACGTTTCTTAAATCTACAGAGATTAAAGTAATTTAAAATTATAAAATATCGTCAATAATAAATCCAATTTTAAAGTAGTCAAAGGATAAAACAATGTGTATAAAACAAATTTAATGCTGCAGCCTACCCATATAACATTGCATTAAAATTTTATTTCGCATGTCACATAACCCATATCGAATCAAAGATTTACTAAAACGCAAGTTTCAGAAAACTGTATATTAGCTCAGATTTATTTTATTGGAAATCGTTTATCTAATAATGTTATATAATTATTCGTAACATATTCCAATTTTTGAGATTGCAAGAAAATACACTAAATTAAGACTAGTTTTTATATCTGTATCTTGATGACAACCTAACAATTCAGCAACTTTTATTTGTAATTTTTTTTTTTTGGTTTTGTATTATAAAATTGAAATCTGCATTTCATTTTTTTTTTTTCCTTTTGTCACACCCCGCCGCATTTCATTTGCTATGATATTTTTTGGTTTCACTAATCCTTAGTGACAACAAAATATTCAGACATTTTTTTTAGAAAACAGTTAGTTTTTTTTATATAATTGTATAGAAATAATGAAGTTTTATTAAATAATAATAATAATAATCATCTTCGTTTTTTTTTTTCTAAAATTTTAACATCCAATTTATGTTTTGATACCACGTCCTCGAATATAAATGTTTTTTATATTTCGCAGATATTTTTTGTTGCGTGATCTAAAATTTTGAACTTTTTCATGTGATTTAAAAGTATTTGCCCTTAAAGAGTATAATTTTATTTATTTTTTACCTGCAAGGCCTCTCTAATTAATTATCTTTCTTAATTTTTTTTTTATTTTGTTGACAAAAACTTGTTATTTTTTCACAATAATTATATAGGAGAAATCGTAATACATACTAAAAATTTCTCTAGAAGATTTGTTCATTAAATTTTTTGAGTTAAGTTTTAATTATAAAAATAATAATATCCAAAAGGGCATATAATACAAAACCAAACACATGGGATGAATGATTAAAATTTCTTTCGGAAAGTTGTTAATCTATCTATCTTTCAATCAATCAAAACCAACTGTAATTTACGTTATAATATAACAATTATAAATTAAATTATATAAGAGAGTGCTTGAGGAAGGAAAGAAATGGAATTAGTACTTGTGAAATTAATAACACATTTATTTCTATTAGGGGAGAGGATTTGCCTTAGAATACATAAAACAAATAAAGACTAGTTAAATTAAACTATTATTTTCCCATGTGGACAATATGTGAACGTTAAATATCTCTTTTTTTTATTAATAAATTTAAAAAAAAAAACACAAAGTACATCGTATATTAATATAATTTTATACGATATCAGTGATATACATAAAATCCTGTTAATATTCATTCTACTAATTTTAAGTGATAAAATATCTAATATATATAATTAAAGTTTATTTCTTGTTAAAAAATAGAAAGCGAAAATTAAATCTTCATAATATATAAATGATAAAAAAAATTATCCGGTAAAATATATTAAAAAGTAAATAAATCAACAGGAAACAAATGCCATATTCTCCAAAAAAAGGTATTGTCAAAATTAATAAGGAGAAGGGAATTCAAAAAATATGACAAATATATTTTTATAGGAAAAGAAATGGAGAGATTTCGCTATCAACAAAAAGGGGGGCAAAAAAGATTTGTGGGGGAAAAAGAGGCATCAAAGGGAGTCGACAGTTAAATATATTAAAAAGTAAATAAATCAACAGGAAACAAATGCCATATTCTCCAAAAAAAGGTATTGTCAAAATTAATAAGGAGAAGGGAATTCAAAAAATATGACAAATATATTTTTATAGGAAAAGAAATGGAGAGATTTCGCTATCAACAAAAAGGGGGGCAAAAAAGATTTGTGGGGGAAAAAGAGGCATCAAAGGGAAAGAGAAAATATTCGGAATGAAGGGGCACTCACGAGGCAGACACCACCTCCTTCGTTTTTGTTAATTTCATATTTGGCCCCAATCTCTCTTCACCTTCTGATTTTGACCTCTTTAATTTGTCCTCTTCCTTTCTCCACAACCCCCCTCTTGTATGTATGTGTGGCAGAACCAGACACCACCATTGAGGTTTCTGCTCAGCCTGTTCTTGCTAAGCTTCCTTCTAGTCGAGATCTCCGACAGCTCCCCAGCTTGACCCCTGTATCATCTCACCGAAACGAGCAGTGGGTCATTCTAATGGTCAACCAAAATTTACTTTTGCGGGACAACAAAAGTAAGTCGGCATATCAATTTGAATTTGATAATGAAAATGATATGATCGATCAAGGAAGCTCAACGTATCTTTCGTTCCAGATCAACTGCTCTACTTTTCGAGACCCAACTGACTTTAACTTAGTCGGTAGAGCTCGGAATGGAATAGACAAATTTAAGTAGTCATCTACTACCAAGAAGGCCTCGTTGAGACTAGAATTCGTGATAAATCAACGGTTTGCTGCGATCAATAAGGTTTCTACATCTTGATGACTATTAATTGTTGTATTTGTTCTCTTTAATATGTCTGAGTTGTTTTAGGCTCTAGATTCTGGATAAAATTCTGGTCGGATTTAGATTAATATACATTTACCATTAACAAAAAAAAAAAAAAGAAATTGTAGAAACGAAAGCATACAAAGATGGTATCGGCGGCCTCTAGAGTGAAGAAAGGTTCTTACAATATGGAGGAAAAAGACGAGTCAAGTTTAAAGCAAAGAACCATACACTCACTACGTGACAAAAAATAAAGAAAGTGAAAAACCCTAGAAAACGTCGCGACAAAAAGTCCACGAAAAACGTAATTTCTGAAAGATTTTAAAAGCAACAGAATCCCCACAACAGTGAATTATATATATATATATATATATATATATGTACACTCATATGCACATGTATGTATGTATGTATGTATGTATGTATGTATGTATGTATGTATGTATGTATGTATGTATGCATGTGCGCATTAGAAATGCCAATCATTCTGACAGCGGAAATATTAACCTTGTAGATTTACCCATTTCTAGTATGCTATTCTATAAAGAGACGAGATAACGATATATATATATATATATATATGTATATATCTGTGCATTTAAATGTACGTGCATGGCGAAAGAAACTAAAAATGTATAATTCATGTGAAACTGCAGAAAGTATCTAGTACCAAAGCATGCGAATATACATATATGTATATATAAAATAATGGTTAACCCAAGATAGGGATTGGTAAAGACGATGAATAAGTCGGTGGTATCACAATGATATTTCTATAAACTTAAAAAGATTTGTGCCCTCTATCTCCATTATAATAATTGAATTTTTTTTTTGTCATTATAGTAGAGAGTTTGGATCATTATATATATTCGTATACGAATTAATGGTTCGATGTATTTCGAATATGAATGAAGGAAAAAGAAACAAGGACAATAATGGCGATAGAGAGAGATGAGGAAGACAAGGCAAATCATATTCTCAAACAGTTATTTTATATAATGATATATTGACAAGTTGGTGCAAAATAATTGGACTGTTTCATGTTTTGTACACATTTTCATCCCCCCCCTCTCTCTCTCTATCTCTTCCATAAAATTTATATATACATATATATGTATGTGTGTGTATGTGTGGTATCAACCAACAGACCAAACTTTTATTATTATTATTATTATTATTATTATTGAAAATTATAGCAGCGAGGGTTGGTATCTAAACATTAGATTTTGGGGTGCACATGTTTAGGATAAATAAAATTTGAGAATATTAAAGGCATGGTTATGACTGATGGGTCTCACTTGCCAAACATATTTAATTTCCATTCCTTATCTCATTTGCATTTTTTTATCATGATCTTCGAACAATGTGAAGATTTTGTTTGTCTCAAAGATTTATTTTTCACTTTGTTTAGTGATCGATGTTAATCGCATGAAGAATATATATAAATTATGAATGCTATCATAAATTACGAAATTTCAGGTCGTTGGTGTATGATTTTAATTTAACGTACGCAAATAATGTTTCGGAATAGTTTGTTAAGGGAGGTTAGAAAATTTTGTGTAATATATCCAATTTAAAAAAATACATAATTAAGATTTAGAATGTGTGAATCTTAGGTTTTTGTAATTGGAATTTCTAACACATGAAAATTAATATCTCCCAATATATTGGGCCTTAT